CCACTATTCTGCGCCGCTTTTATATGGATCATTCTCTGAGCCTCCCGGTTATCATTCTTTGAGCCTAAGCATCGCGAATAAAATGACGGGTCATTGCCTATGATGGGCAAAAACAAAGTTAGGTATATGTTAAGAGTGGAACAAACGAGTTTCACGCTCATTGATCCTTCGACTTCCCTCGCAAATACCCTTGCGGTATTCAAACATCAAGAGAAGTGTCTTGGTTCGCAGGTCCTCGAGTTTCTTATAGCTATTTATAGCGGCATACAGTACAGGCCGTAAATTACGGCGTAAAATCATGACAGACAGACACTAGCTCAGGTATATTCCAAGGATAGGACAAATAAGCTACGCTCTCGGTGATCTCCCGAACCTGCTCCGAAGTTCGGAGTCCGAACCTCTCGACATTCGAATATTGTGGAGTATTCGAATGTCGAGCCCTTATTCTGGACTAATTGGTAGAGTCCTTGTCGTTTCTGAATACTGTATTCAGAATACAGCAAGCATTATGAAGTACTACTCCAAAACTAGAGCTACGAGAAACAGGCATAGAGTTGAATCCCACGCTACATGAAGTCGAGTTTCACGGTCCCTGATCTCTCAAGGTTACTTGCATCACAAGTTTACTGTATATCCTCGCGGCGGAGTGGCTGTGTACTCTAGAACCTAGACTAAGATAGAAACTCGACTGACTAATGGTGGAACGTGACTGGTGCAACGATGGTGCTTATGATGATTGATAAGTTAACCCTCGCAGCGTCCAGGAGCTCACTCGCGAGGACATTGAGCTTTTACTACCAGGTCCCGAGCGGGTGGGGGCTCGAACTATCCTTCGTACAGTAACTCGTCTGCTAGCTGCCCGTCTGCCTCCCTCTGGATCTGCCGCGGCGGACCCCAACCCTCCGCGCTCTGGGTTTGGCACGGTGTGCCATTTCGATCTCCCTGCAGCCCTCTGCGCCCGTCATCTCGAGGGTCTCGACGGCCGTGTCATTCCCTCGTCTAGCTTGCTCGATACGGTCACTAGCAACGGTTCTGCGGAGCATTTGGTAGCCACCATTGCGACACTCGAGCTCAACCTTTCCGTCCTCGGGGACACCACTCCCTCGCATTCTCCTGAGGTTACTCCCCAAAGTCTCCTGGCTGCCTCCAGGGCCTCTACCTCCTTGGCGGGCAAACCAAACTTCCGTCCGTCGGCCTTCGTTCCGTCACTCGTGAGATGGTGCATCCTTGCCCTTTTGACCACCAACCTGCCTTTGGCCGCGGTCCTAGGTCACCTGGTATGGTGTTCCAAGTATGTGGAGCTCCATGGTCCCTACACCGCGGCTCTCTACGACCAGCTCCACCGTTCTGCGGTTGCCGCATCACTTCGTGCAGGATCTTCGGTAACTGGAGCCGAGTTGGGCACTTGTGACTCTATGCTGGTGATTGACTGCCGCTCGCAGATGGACCGTGCCCTGCGAGCTCGGGGTCCTCCCTCCTCAAGTGGTCCCTCTCGGCAACAGCAGGGCTTCCGTCCTCGCCGGGCGGCTCCCTATCCCTCCCCACCAAGCGTTCCGTCCTCTTCTCCTCCCGCTCCGAAGCCTTCGCCGTCCGGCCCAGCCTCTTCCCGTTCGTCTGCTTCTGGGCATCCAAAGTGAGGCCTCTTCCCGCTACTTGTCACCTTCCGCTTTTCTGGTCTTACGCCCCCCCCAACCCTTGTTTTCTTACCTCTCTTTTCCTTCCTTC